GGGCTCCTGTGTACAACCAGACCAGTGCGTGTGCCATTGATGTCACGGATCGTTCTCCAAAATGTGATGGTGAATGGAGGTGGTTTGGTGTTGAGGGTGTGGATGTTCATCAGCTCGTAGCTGGGAGTCGGCACGTCGCCTTTCAATAACCGCACCCCTCCCACCACCACGTCCCGAGAGACTGTCCTGCCGTTGCCAAGCTTCCCCTTCTTATAGACTAAAGCACTGCCGATAGCATCCCTGACAGCGTCTGAGGCCACGTGCACCTTTATCTCTCGCGCGCGACAGTCACGCTCATATTCGCCAGGGCGCACTGGCTCCCACACAAGGTCGTCGATGGCAATATGTTTATAGCATGCGTGCATATCATACTTAGTACACCTACAGAAAGGGCACGGCGAGTGGACGCTGGTGACGTTTGGAAGGCCGTGAGTTTTATTGATATCACTCCAATCGCCTTTCAGCCAACACACGACCCCCGTAAAACCAAGGTCGACCCCCCTCGTCCTGCGCATGGTCTCCAGAAACGTATCGGGATCCGAGCCGTCGAACATTTGGGCGGGCCTCCGACCGTTGCGAATGGCGACGATCAACCATTTGACATATTGTAGAATTGTATGTACACTGCACCACCCCTTACACCCGCACCTGCACATCTGGTTTACACGTGCGACTGCTATCAAATGACGTTTCATCGATGCCATGTTGATTAGCCAAAACCCAACCAGGCTGTCTGTGCCACTATCGAGGATAGATGTGTACCGCACGCCATCTGTGCATCCGCTGACCATGTGGTCGCCCAGGCTGTAAGATATACACGCGCGGGCCCTGCTCGGTCCGCAACGTACACGAGAGAACGCCCTCTCTGATTCAGCTAGTTACAAAACCAAACCACATACAAACAAGCAGCTCACGGGGATGCACACCAGATGTGGTTGTTAAGGGGACACACCGACAGTCACTGGTACTCACTGGGGGCAGTGAGTACCAGTGAGTCGCAGTGAGTTTTGGCATCGCTCAAGTGATAGACACGGCGGATTGCCGCAGGCTGTTTAACAGACCGAGTGGCAACGGCAGCGACGCGCCGTTGTCCAGGGCGCGCCGCACAACTGGATTGGCCGCATAAATAGCTGGCCACTGATCTACTGCGATAGAACTTATAATGCCTGGGGTAGTCTGAAGCTCGTCCCAAAGAGATTCGAATGCCACGCAAACCTGTAGCTTGTACGACTCCAGCACTCCAGTTTTACGAGTGTACGTAGGCACGTAAATCTTAATGCATGTGTCTGGGTCAGGGAATTTTAAATCAAGAAGCGCTTGATACCGCCCTGTTTGGAGCCCAGGGCGAAGGCCAAACTCGTTGTACGACGCGCCCTTGACACCTGCCTTGCCTGCCCAGTAGCACGCAATGCAGAAGTCGGCCGCGCTAATCTTGCAAGTTGCGAGCAGGCCCTGCGAACATCGCACGGCCACTGCGCTCGACGCGCCCAGCGCCGACGACGGGCTCCACGTCGCACCCGTCGTCGGCGCCAGACAGAAATTCGAGGCAGGAGGTGTGCGATATTCCGTGCCAGTCCCACACGGCCTGCAAGTGAACCATCAACTTGTGGCCTGCATCTCGCATGTCATTGCACTGATCTTCCCACTCGGCACGATGATATGAAGGTATGTAGTCCGTCGGGTCGATCGTCCGGGCACGCTTGGGCGGGCGATTCATGGAGATGCAGCCGCAAGGTGTGTTCGATTGCAGGAATGATTGCTGGCTGAGTGGCGGCGCGGCACACTTGGGCCCACGCGTGCTATCGCGGATGCGACAGCGAGACTATGAGACAAAACAGGATGCCCAGCCAAACATCATTAATATACATCTCCCGCTATATATCCTTCTGTCGCTCCTTAGTGCTGTCGCACCCATCTTTCCGTATCCCCCCAAGTCTCTCTCCTTCGTTATCTTTCTATCCCCCTTTTCCGTGCCTCCCCGCGTGTCTCCCTCTCACGTCCTCTCGTTACTTCTCTATATATCTCGTTCGCTCTCTCTCTCTCTCTATATCGCTCTCCCTCCTCCCTCCCTCTCTCTCTCTCTCTCTCTCTCTCTCTCTCTCTCTCTCTCTCTCTCTCTCTCTCTCTCTCTCTCTCTCTCTATTTATATATATATATATATATGTGTGTATACCCCTCTCTCTCTCAGAGAGCGAGGGCCCCTAGTCGCCTACCACGTGAGCGCGCGCGGCCTTGCCGTGGTTGCTTCCAGGCATTCTAGTTCTCCTGGACACGGTCGTGCTCAGATGCGCATTCCTCTGCCACCTCGTTCAGTTGCATTGTCTGCGTCGGAATAGGCAGCCCCTCCGCCGCGCCCGCGTTGAGGGCCTTGATTTGCTCGAGCGTCAGCCAATCTGGAGACGCTTCTTCGGGCCCCTCGAACGAACTCAGCAAGCGGGGGCCGCTCCCCGCGACGATGCGCCGCCATAGATCACGACGGTGGAACATGGACCTCGACGACCGCTGATCACGGCCACGACGACCCCTGATCACGACCACGGGCCACGGACGGCCACGGCCTACGGGCCAGGAGGGAAGGGGGGGAGCACCAGTGAGGTCGGGGCGAGTCCACAGATGATGCATCGCCGTCACGGTCGGTCGTGCCCACCGAACACGACAGCGGTGTCACCCTCGAGATAAGCGTGGAAGTTGTCGATGGCATTGTCCAGTTGGTCCCTGGGGGGGCTTCGTGGATGCGACCATCGCCGCGGAGTTTCGCCCCCCACCCCCCTCGTTACTTCTCGGGCCAGACTCTATCGGCACGTCGGCCTCGGTCTATATGTCTATCTATGTACGTCTACATACTATATATACGTATCGCTTGCGATATCCATTCCTCTCTGCCGATCTCCCCCCTCTCGCTCTATATCTATCTCTCTCTCTCTCGTTATCGATATCTCTCCATATATATCTATACATCACCGCGTGCCCATGTCGCTCCCGCTCGCTCTATATCTCGCAATCTATACACCTGGTTCTACAGTTCGTGGCGAGTCCCACTATCGAACAATTACGTGAATACATGTTAACAGTTATATGCACGCGTTAATGTGGTAGCACATGTGCACGGGCATGGCCGTGAATGTGTGTACATATGTATACGTATATGCACCGTCTTTCTGTCCATCCATCAATTGGCTTTCGCTATCGCGCTACCTCTCTTCCGTCCCCACCTATCCCGCTCACTCGCTATCTATCTCGCGCTCGCTCGTCCTCTGTCGCTTCCGCCCCCATGCCATCTCGCAAGCTGTTGCGCCGCACTGGCGCAGAGAGCGAGCTGCGGGCGCCCCCCGCGGCGGCCATCGCCGCCCCGCCCGCAGGCAACTGCAGACTACGACTCCAGCTACGAGCGCACCTACCTCGTGCGTCGAGGCTTTCCCGGCGACGCTCCGAGGGCACGCCGAGAGTGAGATGAGTTACGACAGGGGATGGTGAGATGGAATGGTACGAACAGCCAGGATGATAGGTTCGGACACGCGCACTGGAGAAGCGTAGACAGCACTGCACGCCGCACGCACTTCATTTCTTGAGCGAGCGCGCGCACGACACAGTCATGCATGTGCGAGGTGCGCGCCCGCGCCCCTGCGCCATCTCAGCTCTAGTGCCCACCGTCTGCCTCTGCGCCTCATCGGCATTCCGCCCTCCCACTCATCGCCCTCGCCAACATGCTCATCCTCACTTCACCCCACGTCCGCATCCTCGCGGCCTCACGTCTGCGGGAGAAGAGCAGAGATCGATTGGGCATTCGACGAGCAGCCCCAGCCGCTGCGTCAGCGTCTACCGAAAGCGCATGCACGATTCAAACACGTGCGTAAACAGAAGCGCGCGGCACGGGCGGTGCACAGCAATGCGGACCAGAAACTCCAAGAGACGGATCGATATCAGTTGCACGAGCGTGGTGCGACTCATAGCATGCGTGGCAGCATGGCATACGCGCAAGCATGATCACATGAGTACACACATGACACAAGGTTGTCCAGAAATCGTACGGAGGGAGATGCCGTCGTGCCCGCCGTGCCGCTCTAGCTACGCCAGGCTCGAAGCTGGCTGAACGCGAGATGCTGGGGGCAGCGCCGCGTCTCTGAGGGGGCAGCACCCATACTGCCACTACTACATCATCCTCTCCCCCGCCTCAGGCATCCTGGGCATCCGCAGGCGTCTCAGGCATCCCCAGGCATTCCAGGCATGGCCCAGACATCGCCCTCACTGCTATTTCCACTGGTACACGCCAGTCTGGACTACCCCGATCGGTAACTCCCCCTCCTTCCCGAGACGCACGCAGCTTGGAGGCTCTCCCGATGCCATCCCCAGCTACAAAACTAGCTGCCTGCCACTGGCGGCGGCGCCCAGGCCGCGCCACTCACGCGCGGATGCCCAGATCCAGATCTAGATCACCAGGGGGCTCAAACACCGAGCCGCCCAGCGCATGCTACGACGCTCCCCGAGGCTGGACCAGAACTTTTTGTGGCCCACCAAAACTCAACGGTTCTCACCGGTCGCTCAACGGTACCATTGAGATCGACAATCCCTGTAAAATAACAGGGTAAAAGTAGATCCAACGCCAAACTCAACGGGTCCAAACTCAACGGTCCCTGGGCCCCAAACCGGCCCGTGGATTCACTTGCGGACGTGGGATTTTTGGTTTGCGAGTGCGATTTCGCAACAGATTGCAGAGTTTTCATTACCACCCTGCCCCCCCGATCCGATTCCGCGTCATCCCCTTCATTCCACCCCTCCTCCACCCTTCCCGCCCGCCTGCCCCGCTCTCTCCCTCCTGAGTTTCCCTCCGCCACCGTCCGTTCCATCGTCCATCCTACTCCTCCCCTCCTATATCCCATCATTTAAACCCGGGTTTGCTCTCAGAGTCCTGCGATGGTTGCACCCGCGTCAGAAGCCCGCCCACCCCTGTGTACAGGCCTGTCGCAACCTCCGAGGCGACGAAGAGGTCGACGTACTCGCCCTCAGCTGGCCCTCTTGCTGTCGAAGTAGGACTCCGTCTTGAGGCGCTGGGAGCACTGGTCGAGCAGCAGGCGCATCTGCATCGTGAGCTCGTCGATGTGAGGGCCAATGACCGTTGTGAACTCCACGAACTGCTCGTCGAGCAGGTTGGCCTTCCTTGCCTTCGCCGCCGCGGAGCGGAGCTCTTGCACGTTCTCCGCAATGAACTGGGCGTAGTGCGGCTTGTTCCTGTCGTAAATCACGCCCTCCAGCTGCGTGATTGCCTTCTCAAGCGCCCCGTAGGCGTGCTCGTTGTTGAACGGATACCACTTGCTCCTCACCTTGCCAGGCTCCGTCCCGTCAGTCGCATCCTTGATCTCCTTGAGCAAGGTACTCGCGGCCGTGCGCTGGACGCCGTAGCTCAGCACCGCCGCCTTCACTTTCTGCAATGGCGTGCCACCCGCCTTCGTCTTCTTACCTGGAGGCGCCGTCTCAGCACCGCCACCTCCCTCGCCGCCCGCGGAGGGCTCGGCAGCGGATGCCTTCCCCCGCTTGCGGCGGCCGCCCGTCGGCGCCCCGCCGTCGGCGGCCTCGGGGGCGGCGGCCGCGGGAGCGGCTGCTGCCGCGGGAGCGGCTGCTGCCGCGGGAGCGGGCGCCGCGGCAGCCGCTGGCGCGGACATGCACGATGGCCGAACGATGGGCTCGATCGGCATGCCCCCCACGGCCTGAGCGGCAGCGCCTGCCGCGCCAGCGCCAGCGCCTGCCGCGGCTGACGAGACCTGGGAGCGGCCGCTTCCACCCCAACACTCCCCCATCACTCATATTACGTCATTCCGCCTCCATTGAGCCTCCCATTCACCTACCTTATGCTATATTATGCCTACCTATCATGTGACGCTTATACTGGTTGGTGGCAGACCTGGGCCGCGTTCCCACCAACTGCTCGCGCACATGGGACGACCTCAGGCATCGGGCGGGCGGCGCTCTGCACGACGGCAGTGAGGCGGTTGACTATGCTATCGTGGTTCTCATTCTCGGAGTCCGAATACCACGTCATCTTCTGCGTCCACGCCGTCTCGAAGGACTCACTCAGGCCCTCCGTGACGTAGAGGTATTTGAGATCTCGAGTCCACGTACACCATTTCGCCCATGGACGCCCCATGGTATGGCACCTGGGCTAAGAGAGAGTACCCAGACACCTCCATTCCTCCGCTCATCGCCTCACTCACCGCACATACACCGCCCATCACTTCCTTGTGTAACCCTCTCCGACCTCGCGCTCCCCGCGCTCCCGCCCGCCACCTTCGTCGTTTCCTCTCCGCTCCTCCTGACCCCATTGCCGTCATCCACCCCCCCTCCCGCACCCGCATCACCCTCGTGCCAGTCTTTCCCTTAACGAAATGTCTCAGACCCGCCGCCGTTGCGCCGCCATCGCCGTTGCCGCGCCTAGCCGCCTCAGTCGCCGTCGCGGCTACCCGCCCCGAGGCTCCAACTTATCAGCGACGTGACATACCAGGCCAGCTGGGGGCAGTGCTTCGGCGGGGCCGGGCATGCGCCCGATCTCGCCCCCGCCCCCCGCTCTCTCTATATGTATCTCTCTATATATGTATATGTATATGTACATATGGTCACACATAACAACAACTGCATACACCTATGTGTTCATAGCAGCGTGTGCCATTATATGTATATGTCTCGATACATGTATGATGAACATGTGTGCATCTCTATATGTATATATACATTCTAAGTGTATACTTATCCACCGACCTCTGTATCTACATACACCTCTATTTCTCGAGCTACAACTATGTATATGCGTATACTCGTATGCATATATCTCTCCATATCCCTCGCTATCTCTCTCGCCCGTTCTCTTTCATTATTTGTACGTGCCTCTATCTATCGTTCACCTCACATCTGTCTCTCTCTTTCTCCCGCTCTCTCTCTCTCTCTCCCTCACTCTCTCTCTCTCTCTCCCTCTCTCTCTCGATCCCTCCCCCTCTCGTTTGTTCCCTCCCCTCCCCCCTCGCTCTCGGCCCTCCACCCCCCCGTCGGATGCGGCCCGATGTTATGGGCCCCCCGCTGGCGCCTCAACGCGTAGTTGAGCGCGTTGCGGAGGCCCTGTGGGCCCCCGCCCTCCTCAGTCGCGATCCTCCCCACCGTGTAAACCACTCCGCCGCGGGCGGCGGGCGGCGCGAGCGTCTGGGCATGTTTCCCTGAGAGGCGGGCGGAGGGCAGACGGACCAAGGACAGGGCGGGGCCAGGCAGGGGGGGAGGGGGCGGGAGAGGAGGGTGGAGGGCAGGGTGGAGGGCGGAAGGCGGGGTGGGGGGACACCCCGTGGAGGGCGGGCGGAGGGCAGGGTCGGGGGGAAACGGAGGGCGGGCCAGCGGGCGGCGGTTGGAACCAGGGAAGGAGGAACGAGACAGGACGCATTCAAGGAGTAACTTGGATACTGGAATTCATGGACAATTTGCCGCCAGGCTTTCATATAGCGGGCGTCCGTGTAGCGGTTGATCCGATGGGTCTGGGACATCTCCTTCGTCTTGATCCACCTCGGAAGTTGAAGGTAGGCAGATGCGAGTAGAGGTCCATGGGGGAAGTCAACAGAGGATGAGGCGTGGTTCGGATGGGGGGGATGCGGGATCGGGGCCAGGACGTCAAGCTGAAGGATGGGGGAGGCAAAATGCTGGCAGGGGGTGAGGAAGATGAGAAGGACTATGAGCAGGATGAGGGGTAGAAGGGGGAGGATGAGCGGGGCGTGGGGAGCGAGAGACTGAGATCAGATTTGTGGCCATGGTGGTCTGGGGCGATTGTATTCCCAATACTTGTTGTGCTCGTTCAGGAGCCAGTCAGCGCGGAACTTCTCTTTTGCCTTGGGGCCCAAGGAGTCATAGTGCTGCTTCTGCTGCACCCGATCCTTGTGCCGCACCCACCTGTCGAACCTCCCCGCCGCCGGGTTTCCAGCTCCACCGCAAGCTGCGAAGATGTAGTTGTTCTGCTTGGCGGCATCCCAGAAGTCCTCTTCCTCCTTCTCCTTCGGGCTGAGACCCCCTTCATCTGGAGCGGGGGCATCTCCTGCGGGCGCGGCGCGAGAGGAGCGGCGGCGGTAATGGGCAGGTGCCGACTCACCGACATCGACGCAGGCGTCGAGCGGGGGGGGGGTAGCAAGACTCACTGTAACTCACTGTGCGTCACTGTGACCATTGATTATCGATGAGTCGCAGAAGGGGTGCAACACGTCCAACATGATAGCAATCTCCAGGATTGGTGTTAGGACGAGGGCGCAAGATGTGACGGCACTGGACCCGACCGTGATGGGAGGACGGTGGACGGCGGATGATACAAGGCATGATGAGAGGGGGTGCATAGGAGGAGGAGGAGGAGGCGGAGGAGGATGAGGAGGATGGGGTTAGCAGGAGGAGGATGAGGAGGAGGAGGAGGAGGCGCAGTAAGTAGCGTCGAGCCTTGTTGTTCAGAGGCTTGCGAGCGAGAGGAAGAGGGATGCGATAGAGATGGGGGAGACACGAAGTGTGAAGCATGCATGCAGACGGACAGTGGATGAGAGCACACGCACAACACTTGGTCGACACACGGGGAAGGGGTGATACGTCGAGAAATAAATAACATCAGAAGTGATGAGATGTTGGACGATGTAGCTGACGACGCGATGATTGTGGTTGCGACTGCGACGAGCCGGGTAACACCACTCGGGCTCGACAGTGTTATTGCTCGAACGCAAGTCGGCGCCAAACAGCGCCAGCGAGAGAACTACCAGAAATCTGCGCCAGGCGGCGGCATGCACCAATCTATTGACGGCGCTGGCTTGGGCGGCGCAGGCTGGAACGCTGCAGGCGCTGGCTCTACAGACTCTGGCGTGGCCGCGGCGGGCGGCGCCTGCGTGGGGTCCAGGATGCCAACGTGCTCAATGCCCTTGCCATCCGCGGGCGCCGCGGTACCTGGACTGGCCAGCGCCTTCGCCGCTGGCTTCTCCGAAGCTGGAGCGGCAGCAATGCGCTTGCGTACCGTAACTGGCGCCGAAAGTGACTTCGCTGCTGGCCTCTTCTTGACTACTAAGGGTGCGTCATCGTCGTCAGCTTCAGCATGTGCATGACCGCCACTGCCGTCGCTCTTCTCGTTGGCGACGGTGTCCGTGCCGCCCCCGATGTCCTTGCCGAGAAGCTCGCCGAGCGCCTCCTCGACCGATTGAGCTGCACTCGCCTGCTCTGGGCTGGTCGCTGCCGCTGGGCGCTTCATCACAGCGCCCCCCCCGCCCGCTGCTGGGCGGCGCTTCAGTGGAATCCTCTTCGGCTTCACTGCGTACTCCAACTTCTTGATGTCAGCGTCCTCCTTCGTCAAGGAGCCCTCCATCATGCTGACTGCGATATGTTTGAGCCCATCGATGGCCTTGGCCTTCTCGTCGTCGGTCATATGGCCGATCACTAGCTGCAGCCTCTGCACCCAGTCGGTGCCCTCGGGGCCCCAGCTCTGAATGCTCAGCAGCAGGCTGCGATCTGTCCTGTACACGAGCTTCCAGTCTACGTTGTCCTTAGTCCCTGTCCAATGCGGGTCACCACCTGGATTTTTCTTGAACTCGAGCGCGCGGTGACTCCTCAGCTTGCCAACCGTTAACAAGTTCATCTCCCAATAGTCGCCATCTTCCCAGCGCGCGATGACAAGCTTCGAATCGTCGTCGGACTCATTCACCTCGAACGGCAACGCCAGCTCGGGGGGCTTCATCTTGTTGGGGCCGATCACCAAACTGCGATGCGCTGCCTGTGCGGTTACAGCATTAGGGCACGCTCGTGGCGGCGAAGATCACTGGAACTCACCGTGAGTCACTGCACCCAGTGATCCACAGTGAGTTCCAGTGATCTTCGCCGCGAGAGCGGGCCCCAATGCTAAACCTCCCTCGGGCCATCGTTTCCCAGAAGAACTCGTACTTGTAGAGAGGGGCACCGTCGCTGCTGCCATCGGGGTTGATGGCACGGGGCGTGTCTCCACCGCCAGCGGATGCTGTTGCCATCGGCTCTGAGGCTGCCGCGGCCTCTGGAACCTCGTCGGCGTCGTCTGCGTCATCACTGTCCTGCCCGGGCATGCCGCCGTCGTCCGCGGCGGCGTCGTCGTCCTCGGTGATGAAGAGTTTGACCCATGGCGGGCACGAGCCTGGTCTCGTTGTGGCTTTCAGCACGGCCTGACTGATATCTCTGACCATGGCTCTGATCCGAAAGGCCTGGCGCGTGGACCACCCCTCCTTATCGTCTGCTAATTTCCAGATGGACTCTCGCTCTGTCGCCACGTGAAGCAGCGCGGCCTTCATATTTGATTGGGGCACGCCTCTCGGCACGTCCCGCAGCCAAAGGTTCTTGCACAGTTCTTCCTCGTCTCTCTGCCCTGCAAACGTCTCCCGATACGCGAGCAGCTTCGCGCCAGATGCGTCGCTTGGAATGGCCGCTAGCATCTCGCCTTTCAGCCTGTCCATGTCGCAGTGCCACGCCGAACCTGCCC